GGGCAGCTGTGCACACCGCTGATCAGCTGCCAAATCGTGTGCGTGCGCTGTGGTGCTGAGGTGGAGCCTGCGCCTCATCCGGAGGATATAGTCTGGGACAATCTCAGCTTTTCCAAGGCAAAGCGCCGTTCTGTTCAAGTAAGAAGATAGATGAGTATTGCAACTATCCATTTTGATGTTTTCAGTGGAGTGCTAAGGACTCCTACGAAGAGGTGGACTGACCAACTGTTAACTGAATTGCAGGCCCTGTTATGGGCTGTTGCACTGGGACTGTGCACTGCTTCTTTTTGTATTGCCGGGATGCTAATTATTCTAAACATCAGCCTGAAGAATAAGGACTTTACTGGGGTGAGTAGAGTGATTTCCCTGCCGCACAGCCAGATAGCCTGCTCCGGGCGATTACATTAGAATCTTCATATTTGCCGCGTGTTGGCTGGAGACACCTCACAGTCCATGGTACGCAACTTGAAGCGTGAGATTCACTGCAGACTGGTATCGGTTTGATCAAGTTCGTAGAAGACTGGATAATGTCTGTGAACGGCAGTGCAATTCAAGACGCTCTCAGCAACCCTGTAGGCGACAGCCCACCACCTGCAATCGAAATTGCAGGTTTCGTTGCGTTGACTGTCCTTCGAGATGCTATATTTTGAGCATATACTCCACCATAGAGCTGTGTCAGCCGTGGCTATCAAAATGCGAGCAACAGTGACTCAACCTGGTGTGTTATGGCACCAGTCTCCGTTTGGTCCTACAAAATGTTCGTTTCCGTCACTCTTTTGGGGTTCTCACTGTTGCTGCGTGAGGGTTATTACTGCAGCTGGATAAAGAGTCATGGGCTTCTCTGCTGCTATCGACTCTTCCGTCGGTAGCAATCAACTGCATAAACTCCCTGTTGAGGGTTGCCTTTTCCTTCTTGGTATGTCAGGTCTCAGACTATCTTAAGTTGCCTCCTTCTCTGTATAACCATTTCTGAGCTGGACGAGGGTGCAAAATATGAACTTTCGCCTATCTGTGTGAATTTGCTTTGTGATTAAGTCTGTTAAGGAGCGCCACATCAGTCGGACTGCAGAGCAGGCAAGCGCAACGCCACTGTAGGGCGCAAAAAATATACACTATGTGGCCGCATTTCTACGTGCACTCACTTGCTCACATCAGAGGACATTAGGCCATTAGCTGAATCCATGTTGTTTTTTTTCTGTGATTAGCTGATCATGTGCATGTAAGGAATGTAGCAAGGTTGTTCTGGAACCCAGGTTGGTGCTCTCTGCCGATTGCAAAATTCTTTAACGCAGGTAGCGTTCATGGTCCGGTTGACAATTACGTACACAATAAACACTGGGCTGACATATATAATTGTGCTCCAGGACTCAAGGTGGTGGTGAGCTCTGCCCAAACCTTGAATGCCTTTGCAGTACTTCAAACTCAGTGCAAAAGACCTCCGGCGGCAGTTCGTAGTATTGTCCTCAGTGGAGCGTCCGCTGCGCTTCCCGATTGACTAAATTGTACTGGCCGTATTTCCCAAATGCCTATGTTCTATCCTGTATTATATGCATGGCAAGCTATCATTTCGGCGATGGCGGTGCACTGCGCAATGTTGCCCCCTCTGCAGGTATGTTCGAGGGGGCCTCATTGAGTGCGTCGCGATGCAGCTGTTTTCTTTTCTTTTGAGTGAAATCTCATTGTCTCTCCTGCAAGTGCCATGGCTGGTAAAGCTTTCGAATAGATTTGCTGCTGAGAAGCATCGCGTTTATATACCCTGCTCTCTTTGTTCGTGGACAGCATTCTACACCTATTTGCCTTTAGTGAGTCTGCAAATATTTTGGCGCACTCTTTGACTTGTCCGGGTGGCAGATGCGCGTGATCCGCCGCGACTGCCTCTTACCAATATCTAAGAAGCCCATATCTCAGGCAGATTTCAACCGGCTACAAGAGGGGCCAGATTTCTGTACTCCCACAAAGTGAGAGCATCTCCGCTGCTGGTTGCCCGTGCAAAAACGCTCATGCCTGCTCTAGGCAATTTTGTGGCACACTTCATTGATCTTCAGGGTCTCTGTTTACTGCATAGGTATGCGGCGATGATGCAAGGCTTCTGCTCTCTTTCCCTCTACGTAATAATTGCTCCATTTCTCAGTCTACAGGCCATGTGTACATGGGTCCTGTTGTACTGGATATACAAGGGTGCATTACTCCGCCTTGCAAGACGGCCAAACCCAGAAATGACAGCAGTAGTGCACCAAGTGCGTGCCTTGCCTTTTTCTTATAGTATTCAGGGCTTGTGCCCCGGGTGTTTACGATGGATAGAAAACGGAGGCACTGGGCGTTGCATAATGCTTAAGCGTTGAGGCAACGTTATACCACTATTTGCGAATCGCCTGAGACTTTCGTTAAGAGGCCATTTTTTGGTTACCTCCCAGTTAGTTGATCAAAATAATTTCTAACCTCCTGTGCAGGCCATTCTGATCCTCCGGGCATCGGTATTGCTACTGGCAGCTGGGTCGTTTTTGCTGAGGCCAACGACAACAGGAAGTGCTGTCGCTACTCTTCATATGTGCGGTTTGTCGGCGGGAGCAGTGGCCCTGTCCTCGATTCTGGTGCCCCGCTGGGTACAGCTCAAACTCACCTACCTTTGTGCGGTGAGTCTCCACAGTGCAGAGCGGTTTTCCCATCTCAAGATGAGGCGTTCTAGACTGTACGTAAAGCCCAGTGTACGCAATCATGCCTGACTGTATTCTCAACCTTCCATCTGCCCTTCTGTTCTTCCTGTGCCGTGTGTAGACTGGAACGAGGCCGGCAACATGGCAAACTGTGCACTACTACAAGCTTCAGCACGTTTTCTTTGTGCATTATCACACGTCCAATCCAGTTTACGCTTCGTGGGGGCCAGAAAGAAACCCACAGTTCCTACAAGAGCCGGGGGTAAATGCTTGCTCTCCTAGTGCCACGGCAAAGGCATTTGCTGCTAGAGGCGCAGCAAAGAGGGCAAGGCGCCGTATGGCTGCCTTTAAGACGGGAGTTCTGGAGACTGCTCCTGCGCGACACATCGCAAAAGAAGTGAGTAACAAGCCAAGCAGGCCAAGCTCACGCAACTGCTGCCGTATGTTCGGTAGGAGGCCTGAAGATAGCACATTTGTCTTATGTTTTCCTCACGCTGTAGCCTTCTGAGACCCGCTGCACTCCCAGAATGCGTTAAATGAAATTCCTGGTCTCAGGGTGGCGTCAATTCATCAGCCACAGCCTCAGATATTCTCGATCGTAGTGACGCAACTGAAGGCAGCAGCAGGGACGGCAGTGATAGCGAAAGCCAGGAAACTGATGAATTTGTGCCCAACGTGGCAGCGATGACCAGGTTGCGGGCTACACTTGTCGAGGGAAGAGCTGCGCCCGAATTCCAGCGACTCTTCATAGAGTCACAGTCAAAGAGCACTGCTAAACGCCAACCCAGAACGAGTATTCGTGCTGGTCAGACTACTGCAGCTACGTTTCAATCCAACGATTCGCTTTCAGAGCACACTCCCTATTATCCTGGCGCATCCGCGAAGGAGTTGAAAGAAGAGGCGGCCAAGCATCATCTGGGAAGGGAGATAACTTCTCGAAGCCAGATGTCTCTGGCTTCGTGTGGCGAGACAGCCCCTCCGTACACCAACACAGAGCACGACGACAGGCAAGAATTAGAGCCGCCCAACAACTTCTTGGGCTGGCTCCGATGTCTCGTACCGAAGCTTCTGAATATTTTAGGCTGTTCACTCACTGAGTCGGCAAGCAGTGGGAAAGTGCAGCAATCCCCATGTGGGGTTATGAATGGCAGTTGAAATCCTGCAGTTCTAATGCTACAACAGAAGTTTCGAATGCAGCAGCACCCGAGCAGAGCAGTGGCTGAAACCAAGCCCTGTCTGGCTCTCTCGCTCCAAGTAGTTAAGGAGCACAGATGCCACCTGATGTAGTTCAGGGGCGTTACCAACCTGCGAATGAGCGTTAAATCACACGCGTGTGTCATAGCACAAAACCAGAGTGACGAATAACTTGAAAATGCAGAATGAAAATGCCACAAGATTTACGGAAAGTAAATGCGGCAGAAAATGTTTCCAAATCACCAGCGGAAGCATATGATTAGGACGAGGAACTTCCGCTGGAACTGCTCAGCCAAGAATTGCGCATACCCTACTCAGCGTAAGCGGTCCCGGCCGCACCTTGCGCACCTGCTGTCGCTGCTCGACGATGCACCAGCACCGTCGCGGCAGCCTTAGAACAGATTGGACTTTTTTGGTTGCGACTCCACCGCTCACATGTTTTCCATGAAGTTCCGGCAAGGGCTTCGCTACTCTGCTTTAACTCCATCCAGAATACATCAACTCCACCAACTATGACACTAAGCTGCTTTTTCAGTCTCGACCTGATCGCCCCGCCAGTCTGCAGAACTGAAAGATATCACATTCGCTGGTGCCTGCTCGGCGAATGCAACAGAACATTTTCTCGCGTTTGCGGCACAGTGCCCCTGGTGCGCAAATGCTGCCACACACCCAACACCGGCGGCACTTCCCCTACTTGGCGACTATCTCCACGAAATGGAGTCCCGCTCCCTCCAACCGCGCTGGGCAAATCTCCACTAGGCGAAAGCCGCCGAAGTGCGTCACCGGCGCTTGCCGAATGACCCTCAGACAAGGCAGCAGCAGCAGCAGCAGCAGCAGCAGCANGCAGCAGCAGCAGCAGCAGCAGCAGCAGCACCGTTACGAACGCTGCACGACGTCTCGTGAGTTCCAGTCAAACTGACACCTTGCGCTGAGCGGTGCATTTCCATATCCGAGGGGTCGTACTGAGGAAATAACCTTGTAGGTGTCGCTGTTGGTACGCCTGTGCCTATGCGCAATGTGGCACCTTCATTTATACCGCCGCTGCTGCACCCCAAGGATGGCACGGAGCTGCGCTGCGGTGCATCCAGTCCCCAATGACTGGGACCAACGCCATCTACAGATGGCTGTGTCTGCTGAGGGAAATTGTCCTGCGCCATGGAGTGGTACAAATGTCCTTGCTCCTGCTCCTGCTGGTTGAGGTTTCGTTTATGCTGAGTGTAAATTGGGGGCATCCAATGCCCAGGTGCCCGTGAAGAGTCGGCGGGGTTTTCAGCTTCGCTGTCGCTACTGCTGTTCCTACTCGTGCTTCCTCTCCTGTCAGGTCGATCAGCACTGCGGTCGCTAGAGCTGCTGCCGCAGCTCTCTCCCGCGCTTGCAGCTCCACTGAGATTGCTGGGTTGATGCATCTCAGCGATGCCTGCCCCTTGGCCACCTCCAGAAGTCTCCGCTGGAGTACCGTCCGTAGGAAGCGCTCCTCGGCGGACGTGCAGCGNACTATGTGCTGGGTGGCTGTCTGCCTCGGCAACAGCGTTCCTGCAGTTAGGTGGCACTGGCCAGCGCGGGTTTCTTTGCTGTTGGCTCTTCTCCCGAGAAAGCAGCGGGTTCTCCTCAGAGGAGGCCCACCGCCCATCATGGGGAGTGGTAGGCTCTTCCGCTTGAGTTGTTGGCACAGTTCGCCCTGCGGTAGCAGTTGCCTGGCTGCATACTGCAGGCTTGTCTGTTTCTGTTGCCTCTTCATTGGTCGGAAACGTGGGTAAATCTTCATCTGGAAACAGCAGTTGGCGCCTGTCCGCCTCTCCGGTTGCCTGCATCTCTTTGTGTTGCTGCATCTCGCGGTGCAGCATATGTTGCTGCTGTATGTCTTGCTGTAGTCGCTGCTGCCGCATACGATGCCCATCCAAGGACTGGGACAGCACTGCAGGGGAGTCCACGAGGGTCTGCTCTCGCGTGCCTTCATTCTGTTGGTGTCTTACAGCTTGGACCAGGCCCTCCGGGTCAGGATAATCACGTTGAGGGCTCCGTTGCTGCTGCTGCTGTTGCATATGCCCCGAAGCAGGGCCCAAATCGTCAGCTTGATGTTGCGGCGGGCGGCCCTCTGCACCGAACGGCTCGGGGAAGTCAGGAGGCAAGAGCCACGCAGCTGCAGCCGCTGCTGCTGCCTGCGGTGTCGCATCCGACGACGACCCGCCTGGTACAGTTGCGCTAGCTGGTTGCGTTTGAGGGGTGCTGCCCGTAGCTTCGCTCCCGCCCACTGTCCCCCCCCAGAGTTGCTGCCGTCGCTGCGGCTGTTCCTGGTGCTCCTGCTGCTCGTGTCGCTGCTGCTGTGAGGCCCCCTGCTGCTGCTGCAGATACCCCCTTGTGCGGACAAAACGTCTGCGCCCCGAGGTACCCTTCGTCTTGCAGCCACCGCTGCCGGCGCTGCTACTTCTGCTGCTATCTTTCCGCACGCCTTGCGTTGCCGCTACTCGTCGAGGGGGAGGCGACGGCAGCTGCTGCTGCCGCGGTTGCATGGGAGACTTAGTCGTGCTACTACTGGCAGATGGGGCTACCGCTCCTGTAATATTCGCACTAGCAGCACCAGTTGTCGCAGCGGAGAACTTGCTTCTTCCNAGCTTCATTGTCACCGTCGCTATTGCTGCCACTGCTGCTGCTACTGCAGCTGCTGCTGGCACTGCTGCTGCTCTTGCTGCTGCTGTCAGTTTCCTCCCAATACGCTGTACTCCTCTTTGGCTGACTGGCTTTTCTTATCCCTGCAGCACCGGCAGCGTGTCGCGGAGCTCTAGAATAAATACAGGTAGTGAGGCTCCTACGTGCGGTAGCCGCTGGTGTTGTAGCTGTTGCTGTTATTGCTGCCTCTCCTGTTCTTATCTGTGGCCCTGCAGATGAGGCGCGCGACCCGCATCGGCCTGAGAGACGAGATGCGGTGGCGCAAGAGTACTCCCTGGCTCTCCCCGCGTTCGGTGCCCTGGTTGTTTCGCTAGGCGAGGTCCTCGACGGCGGTATTTCCGAAGAACTGCGGCGCTGTTGTGTCGAGGCGCTGGCTACTCTTCTGAGAGGGGGTGGTGTCGGCACAGCAGTTGTTGCCGTCGGGAAGCCTGAGCTGCTGTTGCCGCAGGTGTGCCCGTACCCTTCAAAGACACTATGCGCTTTCGTTGAGTCTGTATCGCTGTCACTGGAAGTGGCAGAGTCCCAAGAAGGGCTGTCATCATCAGGTTTCGCTTGGTCCCGCCCTGATAAGGCAGCTGCTGCTGCTTCATTTATAACCTCTGCCGCCGCCGCCACTGACGGGGAAGCGGAGTGCATTGNCTGGCTGGAATGCGTGGTTGTGGTTGTTGCCACTCGCAGTGACGGGAAGGGGTTGAGCTGCTTGTTTGGCCTTCACTTGCACTCCCTTCGACCTTTTCTTTTTCGGTTGACTGACTGTCCCCTCGCTGTTGCTGTTGGTCCTGAGATGACTTGCTCTGCTCTTGCGGCTGCTGGCTTAGCGGCTGCTGTTGGAGCTCTTGGTTTTGCTTTTGCTTTCTGTGTAGCCACTCACCGATTTCAGTCTCACACTCTATGAGCCTCTTCTGCTTATTTTGCTGTTGCTGCTGCAGCTTCTGAAGCTCATGCCAACGCAAGGAATTACTCGTACTGCTCCATCCGGACTGCTGCGCAGCTGCTGCTTGGTGCTCTTCGAGTTCGCGTTGCAACTCGTGCTGCTGCCTTTGTAGGCTCCCGATGGAACGCAGCAACTGCTGCCGCTGTTGCTGCAGCTTTTCGATCCGCGGTTCCGCTTCATCTGCTTCACACTGCCGGCTTTCCTGCCCTTGCTGCTGATCATTTTGCTGGTGAGTGTCATGTTGCTGCTGCTCTGTGGTGAGTTGTTCCGGCTGCACCAGGGTCGGAGAAGGCGTCGACTGCTGCACCGGCTTGGAAACAACAAGCAACTCCGGATGCCTGTACAGTGGCTGATTAGGCAGGAGCAGCTGTCTCGCATAGGACTCAGCATCCAGGAGCGTGATGCGCGCTTCATTCAGTCTGCGAACCCGCAAAAACGTAAACAGCAAATTGTTTGCCACGCACTTCGCTGGCACCACAAATAAACTAATACACCCAGACAGCTAAGCAGTTCAACGGCAGTCTTCAGTAGAGTTACCTTTTAAAGTGGTTCTCGTGTCTCAGACGAAGGTCTTCAGAGAGAGCAGAAGCCTTGTCCGGATGCCATAAAATACTCATGCGACGAAATGCCTACAGATAGAAACAGACAGTGCATGATCTGACCCTAACACTAGGCGGGGAAAACTGTACAGAGCCTCGTGTACAGACAAGCCTCAAGGAGTATGGATGCCAGATGTGGATTGACCAGAAGACTAGGCAACATGACCCAGGCAACAGCAAGCAAGTTACCAACGACCCAAACCAGCCTGCAAGGTGCTTCGAAACGCACGCGATTTACTGCTGCTTTGGGAGCACCCCTTTCAATCCCCAGGACTTGGAAGCTAGATGCATGCAACTGGGCTTCGTACAGTCGTCGCCTGCGCAGAGGAAATCGAGCAGCGCACCGTCGCAGCCACGCAAAAACTCATGCGTATCATGTAGCAATCTAAATTCCCAAACGAAAGACACCTCTCTGATAATATGTTGCAAACTAGCTTTCGGTTACTTCTCCGCCACATCTTCAGAGCAATTAGCCTCGCGAAAAGGTCGCCTACAAGATTCCTAGAGGGCACTATCGAGACGGCCTGTCACGGACTAATTGACTAGCCAAGAAAGCGTCAGAGTAAGTGAATGCGAATAAAAAGGGGAGTTCGTACTTCTGATAGTGTTCAGCGGCGAAAGAGTCTGGGCAGTGCTGCCGCATGAGCTGCATGTAGTTGAGCGCCCCCTCAAAATCTAGCAACCATTCGCAAGCCTGACCAAAAAATGCAGCAAGGGCAAAGATGTTGGTTGCGGCGAGCTGACTCACGTGCGAAGTGCAATCACTACGAAATTGAATACTGCTGAGCAGGACATAGAATTGACCGCAACACTTCCGTCATTTACAGACGTTCGTCTCCGTTGTTCCACATGCAGGTGTCACTTGCCTTATACGAATCGCCTAGTATGCTATATTTGCCACTGTGTTATCGTATATGCGTCGCTCACCTCGGCAGCTGTTTCATAGGCAGCTTTGTAGTTCGGAGTCATGCTTAGGCATAGCGAGCAGCTCTGAAGGCTGCAAATCCAACGGCCAAGACGGAGAGCGCTTCGACCCTGAAGTGCCGCAAATAACCACATAACCGAAAGTGCATGCGGCAGCAGTACCCAACCAACAAGCCAAGCNCTAACAGTTGCTGCGAGGAGACAAAAAGTTGCGGGTCTGCTTCCATATCTGAGAGTGAAAGTAGTTAGTCACAATGACTGCCCCAAAGCCAGTCGTTAACTTTGCAGTGCCCAGGAACCCAGAGTTTCAAACGAGGCGCGAACGCGATCTAGTAGCATTCAGGAGGCCCTGCCCCGTACCTTGTTAAACGCAAGCTTTGCCGTGTTTTCCATGAGCGAAAGATTAGAGGAGCTGACGCCGCCGGTGACCTCATCAAGCTGCTGTTGCTTCTCCAGCAGCCGCTGCTGCAGTTTCAGTGCCTCAGTGTAAAGGGCAAGGGCAGCTTCGTTATGGTGTTGCCTGTAAAGCGAGCTTGCCTGCGCATCCGCATGCATTCGCTTGCGCCACGCAGCATTCGTTAGGCCTGTCTACCCGCTGCTTGTGAAGCCTTGCTGTCACAACGTACTGAATACATTATATAATGATTGCGCACGTAAGCTGCCACCACAACCCACATTTGCAGCCTAGACTCCTGGACATGGGGAGGAAAACACGCGTACCCGTGCGTTGTCTAACTCACCTTGGCTGCATATTCGAATACGACGCTTCGCCAGGCCCTCAAGTTGCACGACACGCCAGAAACTTCTTCTTGAAACTCTGCGCGCTGATGCATTTCTCCTGCCGCTGCAGCTTTCTGTAGCCCACTCAAATGTTGTAGATGCGCGGGTAGCAACAAAGGCAACAGGTCTGCTGGGGTCTTGCCTTGCCTGTTTTGCGCGTAGAGCAGTTCGCAAGGAAGAGATGTCAGGCTAAGCGTACCAAAGAGCTGCGGCAAATTCCTGAAGACAAGTAGCATGGGGTGCATGCCCCATATACAAGACTGCAATGAGAACCAACCTCTCAAGTTTCGGCGCTTTCCCTCTGCTCAGGAAAAGGAAAACCGTGTGACACTCTACACTCTAGAACATGAATGCTGCCCGAAGAGTTGTGGCTAAACTGCGGGCGGGCGTACAAATGAGAACGCTTAGCAACGACAGGAGATGCTGCAGTGTACCGGTGTGCCACTACAATGTAATTGTACACTCCAGTGCAGCAGACTGAGTGAAGCAGCTTGCCTCAGGCAGATGAGGTGGAAGACGTTGTTGCCTGAGCTTCTGTCGGTGAGAGTCGCTGCATGGAGAGCCAGTGGGGCAGTCCCATGCCGCAGAAGCCCTGCTGCCGCAGCCACTCCCCCGGAGCCTCGCAAGAGTAGCTGCAAGAGCACGTGCTGTCTCCCTTCCCCTCGTGTCTCCCAGCTTTCAGCTGGCGTCACGGCAACGTTATCTGTAAGGCTTCCTTGCGGAGATACTCCAGTTGATTTTTTCCCCTGCATCAGCTCAGTCCTACTGCTGCCGTCGTTGCTGGAAAGGCAACAGCTCCCTTCTAAAAATTTGCTGCCGACAGTCTCCTTGAGAAGCTGCAGCCAGCGCGAGTTTGCAAGCAAGACCCCTTGCTGCTTGAGTCGCAGCAATGAAGATATGTTCTGCACGGCGAGAAGAGGCAGCAGCACTTCGTCACACAACGCTGTGCCCAAAACGTCGTATGCCTCCCGCTCCATCGACTCATCTATTGATGCAAGTCCTCCCTGATGCTGCACTTGCAATTCAGTGCTGCTTGTCGCCATACTGGAGGATGCTGCATGTCTTTGTTGCGAGTACACCCGAATCTGCATGCTCTCGGCTCTCAGCCTCTCCAGCAGCATGCCCACGATTTCGGGGTCGGCACCTGTCGCTGGGCAGCGATTGAGAACTTCCTGTACAGCCAAAACGGCAGCTTCTGCTGCCGCTGCTGACGAACGCGCTGACTCCCCGGATAGTCGATTTTCCATAGCGCCGCTGCAACTGTGCAGCGCAGTCCGAAGCTCCCCAACCATTGCCTCGTGCTGGTCATCGCTGCTGCAGCAGCACGACGCGCTGCAACCCCAAGCAGTACATGAAGCGGATTCAGCTGCTTCCACACAGCACCAGAGACCGCCTGCAGCGTATCTGTCCTGCTGCTCCCCCTCAGTCCTCCTGGGCGGCAGTGACAGCCCTCCACTTGGAGGCTGCTGGCGCCCCCCGCCCGTCGCCATCTGTTGAGCAGGCGATTCACTGCAGACACTCCTTTGAACTCCGTCCTTCTCCAAGTCCGCTTCTCTGTCTCGAGAGCTCATTCCGCCCCTGTCCTCTTCAGAGGATACTGCGAGCTGAATACGGTGAGAGAGCTGGCGGCGCAGGCGACGAACCTCGGCATAGAGGTGCTGCGTGTCCTGCTGCTGCTGCTGCCGCACCTCTTCTACCAGCAGTCTTGCCTCATCGCCCAACGCTACACGCTGCTGCAGCTGCTGCAGTGAGGCAGTGACGTCGAGATAGTTGCCTTCTGCTGCCGCGAGGCGATCCGCTCTCTCCTCGAGCTGCTGCTGCAGCAAGCTCACCTGACGCAGCAGCAGCCCAGCTTCAGTTTCCCGGCTTGCGAGCTGTTGTTCTTGCTGCCGAAGCAATTGTTCTTGATGCCGCAGCAACGCATCCTGCTGGTGCAGTTGCTGTTGCTGCTGCTGCAGCAACTGCTGTTGCTGTTGCAGTTGCTTGTGAAGCTGGAGTTGTTGTTGCCTACTAGCATGTTCTCTCAGCTGAATGCGCCGCGCAACTGCATGCAGCCTGGCAGCATCAGCAGACGCATGAGTTGAGTCCGAGTCCTCCTCACTCTCTCCCTGGTGGACAGCCTCCCGCATTGTGTCGTGGAGGCAGTAGTGGGGGCTACGAAAAGTGGCGTCCCTACGCCCAAGGCAAGAAGCAACAGATCTAACGTGTTCACTATACCATACGCGGGAATTTGCAAACTAGTAATTTACATCCGCCTGCATACTGTTACTGTCAGGAAACTCCCACAGCAGGTTGGGTTGGAGGCGAATGTCTCCCACAGGCCTGCTGTTGCTTCCGCATAGGTTGCTTGCAAGGCTTGCGGCGAATTCGTTGGCCTAGGAACAAGAGTCACCAGCCGCACAGACCTTTAGCAGGCCATTTTGCGCGGGCGCGATATGAGGGAGTATGGTGTCTGCGTGACCTCACCACACCCTTTCCTGAAGCCAGGCGGAAGGCCCTGACGGAAGTGAGAGTATATTTCAAACAAAAACCGCTGTAACAACAAACCATGAGCTGCACACGCACCTGCTCCGTCAGGTTGTCCGCCACAGTCGGTAACGCCAACGATGAAAAGGAACAATATAGGCGGGAGCATCCGTCAACTTGGCCCCCTCAGACAGAACGCACACTAAAATGAAAGCTGAGACATTTGATTGCTAAGGGATTCCCAATACAGGCGAGCTGTAACCCAGGAAAAAGCTAATCGCGCCGCAAAATTATGTTCGGGGCCCCGGGGGCCCCGAAGAGGGGGGTGGTGAGGCGGGGCTTAGCAAGGAAAACGGCTATTTGTGGATTTAAAATGATTACACGATATTTTATGCAGATTGTGAGCAGCAAATTCTAACTGCTTTTGGAACAACGCCTGAAAAGACCATCACATCCGCGCTAAACACAAGGAAGTCCTGCATAGCCCCTGATGAGTCCCTGCATTCCGTCTCTGTATGCATGAAACACACAGCCTAGAGAAGCAGCTGAAATCGTGTTTCTATTGTAGCTGAACACTTTAGTGTACATTTAGACACGGTTCCGTTGCCGGCTGGAAATTCCGCCTATATCTGGTTAGGAATACCCGGACATACGAGAAACACCTGCAAACACGATGGTGCCCGAATTTCACGCCTACAAAGCGACATTTTATGTTCGTATCTCTGCTGGCCTGTCCAGGCGGGGTTAATGAGATCAACCACTTCAGCTTCCCACAGCCTAGTTTTGAAGGGCAGGACAACTAGTGTAGCATGTTCTGCTTGCAGTTTGCAGGGGAGCCTTAACTTAGCCTTGGCAGGAGGTGTGTAAGCATGTACAAACGGTCTATGAGGTATTCAGAGGTAAATCATGCAGAAAAGGAAGGTTGAGCGAGTCCTTCATGTGTGCACGCGTGAGGCTGGCTTGCTTCACCAGCCGCAGTGAGGTGCGCTGCAACCCCAGTTCAGGCAGCCTCCTCCCCGCAGCATGCAGGCCCTGAGCTCAACACCCCAGAACGCCTGAGGGCAGGGGACGGTGGTCAGCTGCTTTGGTGAAACTTACTTTAACTCTTTAGCTACACTACAGCTTGCTCCTGTCCTTCATTAAGGTCAGGAGAAAGCGTTATACTTGGCGGCACCGCATGGTTCAGCGGGGCAGGTATGAGCACGAACCCCAAACCCCAATGGGTGGCCTCAAGCATTGAGAAGAAGAAATTATTGTGATGTATGAAAACAAAATAAAATAAAGCCGATTTCCTTTTCTTAAACAAGATCTCTTTCAATTTCAGCTGTTCCCTTTCAGCAAAGTAGAGATTGACTATGATCTGCTCAAAGAGGGGGGGGGATGACACACGGTTTGTGGCCTCACCAAGCAGAAGGCAGTTCTATTTCAGCATCCAATCGGGGGGAAAGTGCATGCTTGCCAAGAAAAATTCAGGAGAAGTGCCTCCGGCTGTGCCGTCCTACGCCATNCCCCGGACTTGTACCTTCGCCTAGAAAATGCCACGGAAGAATTCCAATTACTTTTGGCCTCTTCCTTATTCGAAGTGAATGCACGGCGATTGTGGCTACATTTAGGCAGAGGCTCTAACTTTCCGGAGCACATTACCTCCATGCAGGCCTTCCGAGATGCGCTGCGCTGCAGGTTTATCTGTATAACTGCAAGGGAGCATACCATCGCAGAAATGAGACAACTTACGCAAGGAAAGCTGTCGATAGAGCTGTACACAAGAGAAATATCAGTCGTTGGTGAACCGGAGCCCTCCGGAGCCCTATGGCGGATCCGCAACTGCTCTATCATTGGCTTGTAGCAGGTCTACCTCCGGATGAGGGGCAATCAGTAACCGGTTGGGCTACGGGAAGGGAAATGATGGGTAAAAAGTGGAAATCGCGAACATGGTGGATTAGGTTGGCAGCAGAAAGGACAGAAAAAACGCCACATTTACATCCTTAGCCGGAAAGGAAGAAAACGGGTCTGAAATCACCCTCATTAGGAGCCTATGCGCATCGGGCAAGTGATTGCCAGGCCAGCCCAAAAAGAGACTAGAAGCAACAACTGACCGCAGCCAGTGAATTCAACATCGAGAAAGCAAGAAGGGTATACCGAACAGCACACTTGCTTCTATTACTATCAACAGGGGCTTGCACTTCGAGATTTCAGGCTTATAGAAGAGGCTAGGATACAACTGCGACAAAATCTCGAACAGCTCCGCCAGGGGAGCAAACAGAGCCTTCAGAGAAACGCCCGGCTCCCCAGGCAACGTGCGGCGCAGTGATGGGGCCACAAAAGATAACGGCTGCACCCGAAGATCCGCCTCGAATAAATTCAGTGCTTGTACAAGCACGCAATAAACTGCAGGAGTTACTAGCCCTACTAGATACTGGATGCGAAGTGGATCTGATATACGAAGCCGCAGCAAGGAGGAGCAGCCTACCCATCCACTCATAGGCGCAATCTCTGAGGCTACGTTTCGCGGATGACAGGCATGATACAAGAAGCGACAAGCCGTAAAAATGCTCTCTTAGGGCCAAAATGGGGGACTTTTACGTTGGACCAGTTCACCACGATATAATCCTTCTGGTGACCCAGTGGAAGGCACACATGTGTTCCCCTGATGATGACATAGAGGTTTTCCCGCCAGGAAGTGATAGGAGTGTGCGCCTCTCAGGGCTACCGACGACATTTGGATCTTCTATAGTCAGAGGAATAGAAACTGCGTCCCACGGAAAGCAGAGCGAGGAGGCTCCCATGCAGTGCAGAGGCACTGAACGGAACGACGGAGATATGCATGCACTCCGTTGTGACGTTCTGCCAAACACTGCAGTCTTGCGGAATTCGACCCAGTCAACACCAAAAGAGCGGCAAACGTGGGCAAAATTGAAGGAAGAGTTCTCAGATGTACTCAATAACAACGAGCTAGCGGCGCGCAGGCTACCCGCAGAACGCTCAATGCATCATATCGAACTCATTCTCGGCGCAGCCCCAAGTTTCGCTCAGACGACCGCCATATCCTGAAGAGGAAATTCACCTGCAGGCCGATGAACTTCTAAGAAAAGACAAGGCCGTCAACTAGCTGCTTTGGAGACAACCCAGTGTTGGCGAAGAGGAAGTACGGCAGGTGGCGCATGCCCCTCAGCAAAATCCCAGTAAAACCGAAGTTTCCGATGCCCCGGATCGACGAAATCGTTGGCCACCTACAGGCTTCAGCGGTGTACTCAGCGTTTGACTTCGCCGAGGCATTTCTGCAGTACCCAATTCACCCGGCGGGCAGGCACAAGACGGCGTTCCACACAGCACCCATAAGTTGAAGAACACTTGTATGCCAATTGGCCTCGCAGACGTACCCGCCCAACTCCAGATGTAGGTTAATCACGATTTCTTGACGCAAGTCGATCAGGCGTGGATGGTAGTGTGCATGGATGATGTGTTTGTGTTCAGCCGCTATGTGCAGGAGCACTTGTAGCACATCCGGACGGCGCTGCAACTACTACGTGAGAAGTAGTAGTTCGTGAAAGCGCACAAGTGTTCGTTCTTCATGCAAATAATCAGTTTCCTAGGGTTTCGTGTCTCTGCAGCAGGATTTGAACGAGATCCTGCAAGGATCGATGCGATCCTAAGGTGGCCCCTACAACTGTACGCGCAGACGGACGTTCAGGACTTCCTCGGGCTCCCTTAATACTGCCGTATTTTCATTCCTGGATTCGCTCGCATTGCTGCCGCTTTACCTGATCCTTTTAAGAAGGAGAAGCAGTNAAGTTCTTTCCCTCACAACCGATGCCAACAGCACAGCAATCGGGGATCTGCTGTCTCGGCAGGTTAACGACTTGAAACACCAAATACTCGTTGCTACTCACACCGCTTCACAGAGAGGGGCCAAAAGTATCCGGTACGGGGGGAGGAGCTTTACGCGGTCTGGTGGGGTGTAAAAGGGTGATTCAATTACCTCTATGGCAGGAACTTTACTGTCCAAACCGATCATCAATCGCTGACAGGCCTAAGCAACCTCGACAGCACCACCAGCAAGTGCAGACGATTGCCAAGACCTGCTATCTCGCCTTCCATTGGCACATCTGGGAAGGCGCACTTGTGCTTTCCGCCAGAGTGGTGGGCATATGTAGCATGGTCCATAATGCATGCTCTCTGGCCTTTATCTAGGAGAGAGGCGAGCCGCAATGAAGGTAAAGAGTTAAAGCAAGAGTTTCCCAAAGCAGATAACCTCCTTCGCCTGGCCCTAGGCGTCCTGGGCGTTGAGCTCAGGGCCTGGGTGTTGCGGGAAGCAGCACGCCGCAGCGGCTAGTAGTACAAGCCAGCCCCACGCGTGCACGCAAGGAAGTTTCACCGAAGCTTCCTTTGCTGCATGCTTTATCTCTGAATGTACTTGTAGAAAGTTTGCAAGCGTTTACACGCAGCGTGCCAAAACCAAGTGACAGCTTCTCCGCTAACTCATGCTGCATGGTTTGCCCGCAGTCAGCAGGAAGGCCTTCACTTGGTCTTTGTATGTTGCGCGTAAGCAAATACAAACGTTCTATAAGGTATTCAGAGGTAAAACATGCAGAAAAGGAAGCTTCAGCAACTCCGCAATGTGTGCAAGCGCGAGGCCCACCCCCCTCACCCTGCAGCTGCTAGA